CGCTGATACCACTCTGGGAGTGGTCTCGGCTTTCGGTAACTCTGCTCCTCCTTCGTCACACTGTAAATTTTGGCGCGTGGAAGAGAGAGCGGAGTGTAGGACTCGTATCTGCCTGTGTATGAGGCAAACCTGTCCTTCTTTAGGTCGTTGGCCGGAGATGGCTCCGGAGCCTTTGATTTTCCCTTTGCCTTATGGCCTTGGCCTTCAGACAAGGGTATTTGCCTCTGTTTCCCTCCCCCGGATTGAGGTTGGGTTTTTGCTTTATTCCATTCTTCGGCTCGGATGAACTTATCCGAAGCACTAAGAGCTTCCTCCAAGGTCTGCGGGGTATGCATGACCATGAAGTCTAGGAATTTTCCTGGCTGAAGGCCATTCTGCATTGCAAAAACAGCTAGCCCCTGGTCCAGCTGGGAGACGCTTGATGACTCGTTACTGAAACGGGTCAGGTAGTCTCGGAGGCTTTCGGTTTCCCCCTGTTGCAGACTCATGAGCTCTGCGGTAGTCTTCTCTCGGCGGTTTGCCGTGGAAAACTTGCTCCTGAACTTGGAGGACAGATCATCCCAACCTGTTATGGAGCCTTGCCTTACTCCCTTGGAGATCCACGCTTGCGCGACCCCCTTGAGAGTGGTTGGGAAATATTTGCACCAAGTCGCCTCGGATCTGGGGCAAAGATGCATATGAGTCTCATACGAGGCCACGTGGTCCTTCGGATCCGTGGTCCCGTCATATGTGATATGCGACGGTATTTTAACCGTGGGTACGCGCTCTTCCAGTATCCATTGCTCGAATGGTGAACTAGCGGGTAGCATAATTGCCTTGCCCTTGTTCCTGGCCGAAGGGACCGCGCTCCGCCCTCTTAGAGAGGTAGGAGTGGTTTTCGTCCCTGGCTGGGAAGTCTGGGCCTCGGCTGCAGGGAACGAGAGGCGACTACGCACGCTCGGTTCCTGGCCGCCGAGTCGGTCAAGGACACTTCTGCGAACAGTCTCAGGTTCCCGGCGAGTAGATTCTGGCCGAGAAGCTGAGCTGCTGCTCTTATGCGCTGCTGGTCTTGAGGATGAGGATCCTTTAAATAATTGAGAGTTCTTTTTCCTCCGTTTTTCATTTTTCCAAGAATCCTCCTCCCACTCTTCCAGTTCCCGGAAGGAAGGAAGCTTCCCACCGTCATGGTCTAACTTCCTCCGCTGATGCCGGGTATGCGGAGGAGTTCGATCACGAGGCGGTGGCATATTCTGTGCCCTCATTGCCTCCATGAGTACTGCCAGCGCTCTTGCCACCTCTTTCGAACTGGGCCCCGTCAAAGGGGTCCCCGGCCGAGTGTGGTAATGAGGCCGTGCAGCCGATGGTTGGCTTTGGGACACTGAATATGTCCTATGATCAGACTGACCCCTGCTAGACCGAGAGTGGTCCGGCCTATATTGAGAGTCATGCATTATAGGAGATAGGGAATCCTCCTTGTGTGATCCTCCCCCCGAGCCGGCACCCTTGGGAGAGTTCCGGTCCGGCGAGGACGATGGCGGAGGGGTTTTAGGCTTTTCGCCCGCTCCTTGACGGAGGCTTTTGCTCTTGCGGTTCTTAGCCATGGCTGCTAAGATAATTGCAAGATGATCTTGGTTAGGAATTTGGCTTAAAGATTTTTGAAAGTCTTCCCCACAGACGGCGCCAAATTGTTTCGGTTGAAAACAATGGGACCTTGCCGAAGGTCCACTGAAATGGAGAAGACTGGATTCGATCCAAGTTGTGTTGGGCCGAAGGTTTCCTGCACAGTGAACACACGTAAACTAGCCTCGGGGGTGTTTCCGAGGAAGGCCCCTCCGATGCTAAAGTCAGTACAATGTGTAAAAGGAAGACACTATGCAAGAGAGTTTGTAGCTTGAGGCTTTTGTGGAATATTTCTGAATGCAAGAATGAGCATATGAATTGGAATCTCAATCTCCCCGTGAATGTGTCAATATGATGGCTTTTATACCTCATCATACATGGAGAGGTTGGGCTTTAGCCCAATTGGCTTACTTTGTGGGCTGACCTTTGACCTTTGAGCAATTGGAGAGTTGAACCTTGACCTTGGGCTTTTAATTGGATCATTTAGTGCTTAGGCCCAATTTTGACTAAATTGGACCCAAACAGTTTATATTGTCTCATATAATGGATACATCATGTGTAAGGAACATTGAAGATACACATATTTGAAAAAAAATATTCATATAAGTATTAAATTTGAGTATTGAATCGTGCTCCCTTCATCTCATTATAGTTGTCATATTTATAGAATAAAAATTAAATAAAAGAACATCATTTATTGTGATGCTTTCCATCTTTTAGGTGACTTTTGACCTATAAAAATTGAGTCTGGTAGCACGTCAAAATATCAAATATTATTATTGTTATTTACTGATTATTGAAAACTTAATTATTTTAGAACATCATCCTATTCCATATTTGAAAATTTGACAATACAATGGGATGAAGGGAGTGGGAAAAAGAGGTAATAAGAAGTGCTTGGCTTGGAGATTGGAGAAGTGATAGCCCTTATTTTGATTCGTGTTTGAAAGTTGCAATACACTCGCGTGTATAATAAACACTCTCATTTCTCATATTAGCCCTTCCTTGTATACATAAAATGAAGTATAAATATTTTCTTCAAAAAACAAAAAACCGAAAGAATATACTACATCAGTTTCATATTATTAGCAACGATTTAACATAAAGTAAAGAGAAAACTTGTCTTATCGTTATAAATAATTTGAAATAAAGGTTAGTAAATAAGCAACTAATCACAGAGTTGATGATTCCAAAACAGTAGTGAGCATGAGGAAAGCTAAGCTTGAAGTAAACACAGTAAGTTAAAATGAAAGCACAAATAAAATTAATGTCAGCAGTTTTGTCAGGCATGCAAATGTGCTCCAAGTACAAAGCAATAAGTTGAAATAAATAATGGAGCTTTAAATTCACCAGCTTTTACAAGAAAAATATTTTAATTTCTACCTATTTCATTTCAAAGATATACGAGTAGCATATACTTGTATGTATGTGGTGTACTGGTGTATAATATACTACATAAATAAAGTAAGTGTAGTATAAAAACTAAAAAGACAAAGCAATTCACTTCTATGTTTAGACAACAGCATGCTAGCCACAGCACCGCACCAACCACCATGCATTTTTCACACACTTATATTCTTTCGTTTAATGTCTTGTCCTCTTCATTTCCCAAAATAGGGTGTTAAACTCCAAAAAAAAGAAATATGGAAGTAAAAATATGTGTGCCGAGTCTCTAATTAATTTTAAGGGCATGTTCTTTTCAAATTATTCCAGTTCAGCTCCAAGAAGTTCAGTTCAGTTCTTAATTTCCTTCTCTCATAAAATATTCAATATTCTGTAGATGTATCACCTATTTTATGTGGATATCATTTGTTAATGTATCACTCCTTGAATCCCTTCCTATCTATCTCTATATAGGGGTTTGTACTTCTATAAATTTACTAATAAGTCTGTACGGTGTTATGTTAAACTTACACAAAAATGTTAATGTATATTATAAGTAAATTGAATGGAGTAGTAAATTACTTAATTAACTTTGGTAAAAAAAAAAATAATAAGATTAAAGATAACTAAGCCTAATTTATGTTATCTAGACTATAGTGATTGGATGGGAGTAATGTTGCATGCTAATAAAATGAAAGGATGGTGCGAAGTTAATGCATCCCCATTAGTTTTGAAGGTAGATGCATGGTGCATAAGCTAGTACATCCTCCTTTTGTACTTTGTGCTTAAATTGTGGATATTTCACTGGTGAAATAGGGTTTTTGTTATGGAATGATACTACATATGTGAATACATCGTAACTCAATTAAAAGTTAAAATTGACATATGAAACTTTAATTTGTTCAATGATTTTGTCTCAAATAGAAGATTACATCCTCTTTTTCTCATTGAATGGTCATAGTGCGTGATTGCCAATTGTAGTGATTATAACGATTAACAATTTCATTTCGTACTAATTTTTTTTTTTAAAAAAACCTTATTGATGAACATGTCACTATCATATCTATTGGACGTATAATGTATGTTAATATTATTTCTAAGGACGTATGTATGTTAATATTATAAATTTCTACTGGCCAAGTATGTATGTTAATATTATTTCCATTATCATTCTTAACACTCATTGTCAATTTGTCATATATATTTGTCATTGAGCACTAAAATAATTATAAAGAATATACTCATATATAAATTGGAATATTAAGTTCCATTACCAAATTACCAAGAACTTTGCATGAGATTTTGGTTGATACAAATTCATCTCTAATACCATCATTTATTAAAATAAAAAATCAATCAAATATTGCATCAAAAGTGTACTTGATAGATTTCATTTTTGGTAATTCTATTGACTCACTATTATTTTTGGAAAACAAAAAAAAGATAAAGCAATTTTGGCAGGAAAATTTTGTTGTTTGCCAATAAAAATGACACAATATAGCTAGACAAAAAATTTAGCTAATTTTTCCTTTGGATAATCTTGGCTCACCCATGAAAAAATTAAACAATACATGTTATATTGATCTTTCACTATATTGAGTACATCCAATGTACTAATTGCCAATCATACACACAAGTACAAATTGCATGTCAAGGTAGATTTAGAAATTAGATTGTGGCTAAAAATATGCAAGAATCCTCTCATGAATTGGCTTTTTTCCCCTCTTATTCAATTATCTATTTTACAGATTAAGCAAAAAAGATCTTAGGAGGCTAGCTAAAAATCTAAAATGCATCAGACACCATATATAAAGAGTTCTTTTTATAAATTAGGCTTACTAATAGTAGAACACTATAACTCACTTATTTAGTAAAGTTAATTAGGAATTAAATTAGGATCATACGTTGTTTCAAGTTTAATTTAGGTGCTTAATTATGCCATTATCTTGAGAAAATAAATCATTATAAATTAATTAACATGATAATAAAAAATAAATAAAAAAACAATAATAAACAAATTTAAAAAGGAATCACAAGGACATAATTAAGTTCAATAATTCAAAACAACCACATTGAATAACCAATCTCCCTCTTTTACTATACCATTATACCAAACCTTTCCCCACAAAAGAAAAAAAATAAGCACCAAAATAAGTAAAAATAAAATAAAATAAAAAAGTTACAATAAAAAATAAAAGAAAAATGTATCAGTTCCTCATTCTAAAGGTCTAATTGAGGACCTCTACCATATACCCCAACCCCTCTAATTAACAACAAAACTAAATTAACTCATTTTTAAGTTAAACAAAGTACAATGGAAATGTAGTAGAACAATGTCATGATGCATTTATATATACATAATAATACCAAAAGAAGAAAACCCAAACTCATCACATTTAATTAAATTTGGGAATTAACCTTATGAAAGTTGATTGATTGCATCCATCAAAGTATACCCTCTCCCATAGTACCAGTTGTAGTGGATCTCTAGCTCTCTATTCCCCAATGTGCAGTTGTTGTTGTTGATGACAAGCATTGCATCCATGTCATCATCGTCTTCGGAAGGCGATATCGGATCCGAGGTTCCTCTCAGCGCAAACGTACATACGAGTAATAGTGCTCAACCAATGCAAAGACCCTACAGAGGTTGTAACACTTTCTCCTGCTGCTGACATGAACACGCCGATCCAATCCAATCCAATCCAAACCGAATTACATACTCCCGTATACCATTAAGTTTCCCCTTGTGTGTGGTATAAAAATTCACCAAGTACTAGACCAATCCCATAAAAAAAAACACCTTAACTTTCTAAGAAAAAAAAAAGGACCTTACCAACATTTATTTTTTTTTTTTTTTTTTTTTTGAACAAAGAGGGAGATGATGATGAAAAAAGAGTTCTTAGCTTAGATCAAAGATGGAACAGAAGAACCATGATTGTCTGAAGGATTAAGCCAAGCTCCTGCATTACCCCACATAATATTAGATTGATCCGATGACGGCGACGCCATTGAAGGTTGTGAGTGATGATCAATCATGTTGTGAGTATGACTCCATTGATTATGATGATCAATTGATGACCTATTTTGTTGTTGCCTCTCAAACTCCATCTTAACCTCTTTAGTAAACATTCCACTACCACTGTTACCATTTTGGCCATTTCCCTTCATGTTGAGATCATCTTCATAGGAGGGCAATAATGTCTGAAAATTATTATTATTATTGTTGTTATTAGCCCCCTTGATTTGATGAAGGCTAGAAGCTAAAAGGGAAGATATAGTGGATGGTGTTGTGGTGGAAGTAGTGGAAGTTGATGTGTTATTATAGTTGGAAAATAATGGGTTTGATGAGATCAAATCTTGGAAAATTTGCTTGGTATTTTGAGTTTGATGGGTATTATTATTATTATTATTATTATTATGAATGTTCATACTATTCATATTATGAACCAACCCAGATGAAAACCCTAATCCAATACCAATACCAACACCAACACCATTCATTTGAGGTGGGTTTTGAAGATCATACCTTGAAAAAGGGAAATTAATGTCAGAATTGTTGGTTAACCCATACAACAAAGATTGGTGATGATGATTCGAGCCCGAAGATATCAGATCATGAATCTGAGGACCCCCAGATGAGAGAGAGCTTAAACCAGTACCGGCACCGCCACCACAACCACCAGCAGATGAAGCTGAATTAACAGAAGCTTCAAGACAAGTATTGTTATTATTAGTATTTGAAGAACAGGTATTATTGTTGTTAGGCGGTCGTTTAACTCTTTTGTTCTTTCTGCAACCGCCACCTACTGGAACATTCCTCAGAGTACCTCCTCTAGTCCAGTACCGCTTACACGCCTTGCAGAAATGCCGGGGTTGTGTTAAGCTGTAGTTGTTGTAGTAGCAGAACTTTGTATTCGTCGAGTCGCAACGCGGGCATCTTAATGCCTCCTGATTTTGCTGCTGCTGCTGTTGTTGCTGATGTAGTTGTTGTTGTTGTTGTTGTTGCTGTTTTTGCTGCTGCTGCTGTTGTTGGAGGTGCTGATGATCTTGTGCAATCACTGCGACTTTCTGATCCATTCTATCAGTACCAATTGTCGCGGCTGCGGCTGCGGCTGCTGCTACTGAAGCCATGTTGTTGAAGCTGCTACCTTTTGGATCATCTATCTGTAAGATAAATGCACAAAACAAAAACCAAAAAAAGAAAGGAAAAAAAAAAGGGAGATTAATAAAAAAAAATTGTGGGTTTTTTGTTAGGGCTGAAATTAACAATACCCACATAAGAAGTTTTATAAGATACTCTTCCAAAAGCTAGAAAACAAAAAAACAAATGGGGTCCCAATCAAAAATAATAGTGGGTATGTAATGCATGTGTATTATTCGACGAAATGCCTAAGAGAGAGAAAGAAAATGATAGAAAGAGAAAGAAATAAACCTGTGTCCATTCATTAGTAGTTGAAGAGATGAGCACCATTTTCTCACTGTTTCCCAGCATTTTCTTTCACTCAAGTAAACAGACAAAGAACAGGTAGTATAGAATGTGGGAGATTGATTTAAATACTACTCATAGTAGCAAAGATATTAAATTAATTATTTTAGTGAATTGCTAAATACCGCCCTCCACGGCACTAAGATTTAATTTTTATTTTTATGTTGTACGTTGATATTAATATATATAAGAAAATAAATAGTTTGTAAATAAGATGAAATGAACTAAATTCACGTGATTTTTCAGGGTTAAGGGTTGGATGATTTAGATTAGTAGTGAAAAATGGAAGAAGAAGACAGAGAAGAAAAAGCAAGAAATAAAAAAGAGATGAATCTGACAAGGTTCGAGAAAGAAGAGAGGCATCACTACGTAACATTCCTTTAGGTAATAGAATAAGGAGGGGAATAGATTGAGGGAATCCCTAGAGGCCCAATCCACGATGCATATTACAAGACAGCAAATCCCACTTTCACTTTTTTTAATCCTATTTTTCTCTCTCTCTCTCTTTCCCTCTCACCGTTTGTTAATACTATTGAACGATTTCAATTTCAATTTGTTTGTACTGTACTTGTCTTGGGTACGACAGGTGTCTGCGTCTCGTGCTCGTGTTTAGAATAGAAGTGTTAATGAGCTAATATTGACCTTGACTCTTGAGCATGATTTACCATAGAATTTTACGTTACTACGACCCTGTTCTTTTGAGATTCTAGCAGGGTAGGACAGGATTTCCATACACTACAGAACAGAATAAGGCAAAGTTCAACAGAGTAAAGTAAGGCAGATTTCAGCAGAGTAGATTTCAGCACAGCAAAACAGCTCGAAAGAACAACATTTATCTCGGTGTTGTTTTCACTACTTTGCGCTCAAGCTTGCCAAAATTTGGCATTACATCAATCTTGGCTTGGATCATTATTTATTTCAAGTAAAATATGAGTCAAAGAGTATTATGCTAGTTTAACCCCATCTTTAATAAGTATTATGCTGTGAGAGGTTTCGACCGGTAAGGTCTTTCTCCTTACCAATAATAATTACTATAAAAATAAAAATAAAAAAGTATTATGCATTTATGCTCGCTTAACCTGCCATTATTTTTTATGCAATACATTTCAAACTTAGGCCCTATTCTTTTGAGTTTTCTAGGTAGAACAAAGCGAGTTAGTAAAGTAGAACATATTTCAGTAGAGCAGAGCAGAACAACTCAATAAAACAAGGCCTTAGTTTGTATTAGTGAATCATGCTTTGTTAGAAGCCTAGAATATACCAGAGTAGTTCCAGAATAACTTAAAAATATGTTATTATGAGACCATCTCACTAAAAAAATAAGAGGTTATAATTTATTTATTTTATATATCACATTAGTTACTTTTGTCTTTCCATGCAAACAATTTCTCTTTTTTTCATAGCTTGGCTTGACTTGACTCATTACTTAGCTTGTTTTTTGTTCCATCTTACTCGATATTTTAGAAAATTCAAAAGAAATAAGCTAAGTTAAAAATAATAATAAAAAAAAATCTAATAAATCAAGTTAAATAAATTAAGCACATGTAATAATCTAATATATATATAAATAAAGTAGGCATTTTTGGAGAACATTCGGCGCGCCACATAAGCAAAGGTATATTTTTGACCAATTAAAAATTAGATTTCTATTTTATTTTAGAATTAAAAAATTCACTTGCCACCTACATAAAAGCGACGAATGAGATTTAAGAAATTTGCTAGGTAAAAAACAACGAATAATGATTTATTAGGATTTAATTTATTTAAAAAACTAAAAATTATCTTTTTAAAAAAAAATCATCTTAAGATATAGGATTTATATATCTAAGATAATCTTTATAGTGTTTATAATAAGAAATAAAAATTATTCCTTAATTATAATTAAATTAAAATTTGTTATGCCTATCACTATAAATTGACACATCCTACAACACCAATAAAATTTCATATCAATACAAAACTAAATCAAGCGAATTTTGTGTCAGTTGTGTCAGTTTATTTCATCAATGGTTGCGTAATTCTTAGTTTAATTTTTAAAATCCATGTTTTAATGTAAATTTGTGATTATTGCTTACATTGTGTTTATTTAGAATACTTAATGATTATATGTTTATGTTTTGTTTACCGAATTTTGTTTTTACATGTAGATCTAATATAATTAGAGAATTAAATTCGAGCAAAAATGATTGGAAAATCAAAGTACGAAGAGGTATTACATCTTTATAAATCGTTTACATTTATTAAATTTTTTATAAACCTTTATTTTTATTAATTAATTATATTATTAAAATAATTTTTTTGTGATTTAGGTAGCATAATAAAGTCATCAAATTAACTTAATTTTTATTTTTAATTACAAGGTGATTGCGTTCATGCCTCAATTAAAACCAACTTTGTACAATTTCGTCCAAAATTAATTGTAATAAAAGTTTACGCCATTAGATACTTTTCAATCGTTACAAATAAGAACCAATATCGCACTCATTGTCAGTGACAACAAAATAATGATTTAATTTTTTAAAATACTATTGTTTGGGCGATTGAGGACGATGAAAAAATTCCAATGCATAGATTTGATTTTTTACAATTAAAATTTTTAGATCAATTTCACAACAATTTTTCACTTATTGATTTATTTTATAAGACTATAAAGATTAATTTTATATAAATTTTATTTTTGATAACATGTTTTATTTATCCATTTTGATTAGATGGAAGAGATATGGGTGAGAACGAAGTTGGTGATTCTATCAAAATAGAAGATAAATAGTATACATGTTTTTAATTTTTGTAAAAAATATTTTATCTTTTAAAAAACAACGAATAATGATTTAGGATTTAAATTATTTAAAAATAAAAAATATCTTTTCACATTAAAGATTTTATCCTAATATGTAACCGATAAAATATCACATTTACAATTATTATTTTTTTATTGAAAGATATCATATTTACAATTTATTCATATTTTTAAATCCAATTGTTATATAATTAACAACCACAATAAAATACAAAACAACAATAAACAAAGTCGCGTTATAAATTACATTTAAAAAAAAACTTTTGTTATAAGCCATAACACTTTAATTAAAATATTTTTTTTTTGTTTGAAATTATTAGATAGTAAAATAAATCAAATAATTAAAAAAAAAACATAGAATCTATACGAAAATATATTTTCTTGAGATTTATACATGAAAAAGTCGTGCATCGCACGGGCTTTCATCTAGTATATATAAATAAAGTAGGCATTTTTCGGGAGCACTGGGAGCGCCACATAAGCGAAGGTATATTTTCGACCAATTAAAAAATATATTTCTATTTTATTTTAGAATTAAAAAATTCACACGCCACCTAGATAAAAGTGATGAATTAGATTCGATATATCTTCAATTTTAATATAATGCCATGTAGATAATTATCTTAAATCATTAAAAAAAATAAAAAACTATCTTTTCACATTAAGGATTTTATCATAAAAGATCATATTTACAATTTTTTTTAAAAAATAATGTGATTTAAATATCATATGATAAATCTTCACCAAAAAGAGTCGTGCATATCATATGATTTAACTATCATATGATATTAAACACCCACTACTCTTTCATCATGCATGTAAGTTTTGTATTGGTTGTTGACTGGCCATACAAAAAATTATGATTCATAAATTACTTTGCCATGTTTAATTTAGACGTTAGTTTTGACGTCATGATGTGATGTATTAAACTCATGTTATAATTTAATAACAAGTGGTTTAATTTAAAAATCTATTTATAATGGACCTAACCCAAAATAAAATATCATAATTTTCAATATTAGGATTTGATAATCATAACTATCAATATAAGATAAAATTTATTTTAATAATAACCCAATAAAATAACATATCTACCATTATACGATAAATTTTGATGGTGTTTACAATAATAATTATAAATTATTCGTTTATTATAATTAAATTAAAATTTGTGATACCTACCATTATAAATTGACGCATTATACGTCACCAACAAAATTCCGTATCAATACAAAACCAAATCAATTAAATTTTGTGTTAGTAATTGTTTCAGTTGTAGATCATCAATTGCTGGGTAATTCTTAGTTTTTTAAAAATATATATATTCGTATTTGTTACGTAAATTGTGTTTATTTTGGGATTTATGTTTGTTTTTTTTTTTTTACATACAAATCAAATTTTATTAGAGAATTAAATTCAAGCAAAAATGATTGGAAAATCAAAGTACGTGTTTCTCGCCTGTTTGACGTACTGAATTTTCGCAAACAAGATAGCTTAATAAGTTTGGATATGGTCCTATTGGACGAGGAGGTATTTCTTATAAAATATTGACCTCTATTAAATTTTTAATTGAACCTCTTTAGTTTTTACTCCATTATAACTAATTAACTTAATTTCTTATTTTTAATTACAGGGTGATTACATTCACGCCTCAATCAATTCCAACTTTGTTCAACCCTTTCGTTCGAAATTGATTGAAGGAAAAGTTTACACCATTAGATACTTTTAAGTCGTTCCAAATAAAAATCAATATCGCATTGTCAGTGACAACAAAATAATGATTCAGTTTTTCAAAACACTGTTGTCCGAGCTATTGGAGATGATGAAAAAATACCAATGCATAGATTTGATTTTATACAATTACATTCTTTAGATCAATTTCACAACAATTATTCACTTCCCGGTTAATATATTGGTTTATTTTATCTAAATGTATAGATTGTTTTATATCAATTTTATTTTTTCTAATATTTCAGTGTTGTATTTTTATAGTGTTGTATTTTTATATTAGACGTAGTAAGTATGGTTGTAAACAAAATTGGTGATTCTATCGAAATAGAAGATAAATGGTATGTATGTTTTTTTTATGTGTTGTATTTTTATATTAGACATAGTAGGTATGGTTGTAAACGAAATTGGTGATTCTATCGAAATAGAAGACAAATGGTATGTATGTTTATTTTAAAAAAAAATTATTTTTAAATAATTCTTCTTACGTATATTTATTTTATGTGTATCTAATATTTTTTTGTAATTAGGGGGAAACGAATTCAAATTAAGCTTTGAAATAAAATTTTTACTGGGTATACAAAACAGAAAAACCAACTCAGTGATTTCACTAAACCTTTTGCTATTATAATAACTAAAGAGAAAAAACCACCATACAACCTAAAACTATGAAGACAAAGCTTAAAAACTGGTAGTTATTTAGCTTCTAATCGTCATTTAGGGGTTTATTTGGTCAAATTTGACCATAACATCGTTGACGATTTTGACACGGGTTGACTTGGTGGTCGGAGAAGACAGATAGAAGTATTGTGGTGGCCGAAGAAGAGAGACAGGAGTTTCGTGGTGGCCGGAGAAGTTTGGTAGCGGTGCACGGAGTCCAGAGGGACCAGTGGTGGTGGTGGTTGTTGGTGAAGTTTGAGGGAGGAGAGAGAAAGATGAATAAG